CTGCAATCAGAACGGGCGGGGAACTCAACATCTCGACGGGAACTGAGGAGGACTGCTGAGGACCCCGGCATATGGGTACTGATGTTTGATCCTAAGTGCCCGATTTTCGGCCCTTATGGCCTCACACATTTGGTCCGGATATGTCCGCCTCTAGGATCCGGTCAGCCCAAATTGGGCTGCTTATGTCCGCATAAATGACCTATGCTCGGGCGCCCCCCGGTGTGTCCGCCAAACGGATCCAACCTCGAAACCGGCACACGCCCAACGCTGCAACGAGTAGATCGTGACATGATTACTCCGGGATATTGTATTTCAGTCTTCCTAAGATCCACCACTGTTTCCAAAGCTTGCATTTCATTCACCGTTGCTGAGGATATACCTGGATATACACGAGACGAGCTGACAGTTGACTGAGAAGCATAAGAGACACCACTCAACCTAGTACAAGGACTACTGGGTGTGACACTTCGACGACTTGGTATGTCCGCCAGGTGATCGGACACCAAGACCGGCAAGGCCCTTGTGTCCGCCGTGATATACCGGACATGGACCGAAATTTTGGGCTTTATGTCCGCCTAAATATCCGACATAGGGCCCCAAAATTGGCCGTTTATGTCCGCACTAGGATCAAACATATATACCAGTATGCCGGGGTCCTGACTGCTGGCGGGCAAAGCTCGCGCCACAGTTCCGCCGGAAAGTTATCCAAAAGTAAACGGAACTAGTTGACGAGTTGACGGTTCTCCGAACTTTCGTCCACTAGTTCGGAACTGGCACAACACTGGGAGGCAGAACTGAAGTGAATCGTGGCGCGGCGAAGCAAGGTCGTATTCGAGCAGTACTAGTGGTTCGCTCAGAGTCGATGCGGTCGGTTCACCGTTCTCGACTGCAAGTCTTCAGTAACATATATCCACGTCGTCAAGTGTGCGAGACCGGAGTTCACTAGTTGTGCTGTCGTTGTGGTTCAGCCTCGGATTCGAAAGCAGGTGAATATCGTGTGGAACTCTGACCCACAAGTGTGGCAATAAAAGTCACACCATAGCTTCTGCCTGGAGCATGGTCCAGGTGGCATAGAAGGCACACACGGAAGCAGTTCATTCTTTAAATTAATAATCACAAAGCCAAGTAGTTCTACAGTATAGTGCTTGCTGCAACGTTATCAATGCTATGCTGGATAAATGCTATATATGTACATGTATTCTGCAATCCAAGTCCGGAGTTATGCAATTGTCGAGTTAAATAAAATGGTTGCGTGCAAGAAGAAAGGAGTCATTCTGATTCCGTGTCCACGGCTCATCGAGCAGTGGGTTCAGGCGCGTCGGGTTTAAACCTCAATCGCGACAGCAGAACGGTATCCCACGGACCCGAGCTCCTTCCTTCCGACACCTTACTTGCCCATCGAGCTTGGGCGCCTTCCGACATGTCTTCGTGGTATGCTGGCCCGGGTCCGAGTGCATCATCGCTGAAATCCAACTGGAATTCGCCCCATGGCTGCCCCGGCACACGCTGCCCGGAGAAGACATTGAAATGGACCTGAGTCCCAGATAGAATTAATACCACCTCAACATAAACGCAGGCTGCTTCGACGTACCAATCCGTTAGGATGATGGTGGCTGACAAAGAGTGCGTAATCGGGAGCATCCAGGGTACCAATCACTAGATATGGAATAAGTCAGTAGAGTACTGCATAAGCTGAAGGACGGACGTACCGAGGTAAACATCTTCTCGTTGTAACCCATGCTGTTCTCCGTATGTCGCGAGAATGCGATCGATGTTCTCCTTAAACCACCTATACGGTGCGTGCTTCGTGTCAGGCTCGAGGTATCGATAGACCGTGGTCTCAGTGCAGAGATAGGCTGTTTTGTGTCCAACACGGAGCTGGAATGTGTACCGGCGAGCCACCGATTGTCTACAAAGGCCATCAGAATTTCGGCACAAGTCCACTAAGTAAGACGCTTACGGCGAGCCCTCAGTGTTCCGCCGATTCGGTAGCAAGCCTTGTATGACGTCCCACCCCTTCTGAGCGACGCTCCGCTTATCTTGCTTCTGGTTACCTTTCTTGACAGAACCGAAAGCATTCAAGCCGGACATTCCTTTCAGTACATTGCCGGACGTCTTCACGGGGTCAAGAGCATTGAAGAGCGTGACAAAAGTACCAGACGGCTTCGAGAGATAGCCTACATCGCCGAGAGACACTTTGCTTGGGGACCAGAGAGGTAAAGTAACTGTAGAGACAACCGACTAAATCAGCCACATCCCCTGCGTAGCACAGCAAATCAGCCAGATACTCACGGTTGGCGTTAAACTCGTGCTGCAGCAACATCCTGTATCTCCGCTCATTCCTTGTCTCCGCTACGATCTCATCCGCAGGGATGGGAGAAACGTAGCCAGAGTCAAACGTCCCGGGCACGAAATCTATCTCCGACAAGCTGCTGCTCCGGGTAGAGCTGGTACGAACACTGTCTTTCCAGTGGCTACCACCTCCCTCAGTCGCAGTCTGTCCACTATGGCCAGGTTGGGCCTGAATGGTCGACGTGGACACCGCAGGCGTCGTCTGGGACCTACGATGACCTGGCGCTGATGAATCGGATGAACCGTCCCGCGCAGTCAAGTACGAGGCGGTGGTGGGAAGTGAAGATCCGGGTTCTGATTCTGTTGCAAGTCCCGAAGTTAAGTCGCGATGCTCCAAATTATATTAAGCATGACTCACCGGGGGGTGGAAGATCTGACGGTCGAACCTCGGGTGTAACCTGGGGGCTTTGATCTTCCTCAAGACTGGGGAGTCTCCAGCCTGTCATGGGCGCATCCACATCTCTTGACCCCGACTTGACTCTTATAGTCCTGAGATCCAGGGCAACTTGAGTGAATGTAGGTCGCCTTCTGGGTTCCTGATCCCAACATGCCCGTATCATCTTCTCGACATCTTTCGTTGTGAACTTCGAGTGGGGAAATTCTGGCCTCATATGCCTCTCTAATCGAAATAGTATTCAGAAACAGCGAAGGAAGCGATGAAAATGCATACCAAGGACAAAATGACGGACACTATCGTCATCCGCGAGAGCCCAAGGGAGTCGCCCATGGCCTAAAATTTCTATGCAGCATATCGCAAAAGCGTATACGTCCATCTCTTGGGTTAGCTGACTTCCGCCGGCCATTAGCTCGGGCGACTGCCATCGCAACGTGCCATCTAGGCAACAGGTTACATTAGAAACCCATACAGCCGCAAGTTGAAAACTATGTAAGCACACGTACGAGGTGGGGGAGTACCACTTATGCGAGCTACTTCACTCTTCATCTCGCTCTGGCCAAAGTCGGAGATAACACATCGTTCGTCGTCATATACCAGCACATTGGCAGCCTAAAAAAGAACAAAATAGTCGGGCAAGATCCCCAGCACCTTGTGTTCGATATGCCCACCTTCAGATCTCCATGCAGAACGCCCTTCTTATGGAGATATTCCATACCTCTCGCGATCTCGTGCATGGCCTTGAGCAAATCCACACTCTCGCCATGCAACTTGAGATATTCAACGAGACTCCCATTCTTGCAGTAGGGGCTGACGAAGAACCACGGAGGGTCGCCAGAGGCGGAACTCGCCCCAAGAAGGGGAAGAACGTTCGGGTGATCCAGCGTCCTCCATATCTCTATCTCATGCATGAAGAGAGAACGAGGCGTCGTTTCGGCAAGGCACTTGATTGCCACAGCACGGTTGCGCCATGTGCCCCGGTAAACGTCTGAGAAGTATCCTATGCCAATCTTCTCCTCCCGGTCTACTTCATACCTAGTGAAAAGAGCACCGTCCGTGATCAATACTTCGAACAAATCCACCAGAGCTGAATTGTACCTCGTGATTGTCCACTTCGGTAGCTGAAGGCTGGCCTGCGTGCCTCTGCTCATCCTCTTGAGGGCCTCCAGCCCGCTTTCGATGAATTCCCTATCAAGCGTGTCCCTCCGACTCCCTACTCTTGTTCCAATACTAGCCACACTAGCTTTGGTCCTAATGCTCCTCTTCGTACTCGTACTTCCGTCGCGACTCAACGGCACATCCGGCAAAGTCTTCTCCCTCTCCTCCACACTCCACTCCGCCATCGCTTCATCCACCGGCACCTCCTCCAGGATAACCTCATCTTCCGGCTGCCCCTCCTTCTCATGCATCTCCCGCACGACCTCGCGCTCAAGCTCCCGCTGCAGCGTTTTGATCGCCTCGGGCATCTCGTCGCGAGCAACCTGGAGCACCTGGCACATCTCCATGTCGCTCTTCGTCTCGAGCGCGGTGCGCATGAGCGCACGTAGATCGTCCAGATCTCGGATCCGGTCGAATTCATTCTGGCGTTCGCGTAGCTTGCGAAGGGCCTCCTTGATCTGGGTGTCGTTAAGATTGTGAGACTCCGGGGACAGGAGAAGAGGGTCGACTGGGGAGAGTGATTCAGGTGTAGCTGGACCGACTGGTGAAGGGGAGGATGACGCAAAGACCGCCGATAAGGGCTGTCTCTCTGACTGTACCGTCGACTGTACTCGTGCAGCAGCGCCCTCGAGCAGGAGACCAGTCGCTGGAGGCGCAGGTAACGCCCTCAGCTCTGTCGCTCCGAGGGCGGGCTGCGGCCTTGAGCGTAGGACCTCGTACAGCAACCTCGCTTCCTCTTGTCGCCTAGCTTCATTCGCTTGAATCTGCTTCAGAATCCTCACTTGAATCCGGATCTAGTCTTGAGTGAGTAAAGGAGTATATGATCAATGAGGTGTCGACTCGCTCACCCCAAACATCTCCAACGCGTCTCCTAGAGCCGTGTCGCAAGCTGCGATTTCGCGCTGAATCTCCTCGCGCTTGAGGTACCTCTTCAGGAACGGACGATGCATCTGCTTCACGAGAAAGTGATGTACACCTCGAAAAGCGCTGCAGATACAAGATGTATACTCAGAGGTGGGTCAAATGGACACGTAGTAGCCGTGGTACTTACTCAACCAGCTTCTCAATCGGCTCCTGCAACTCATTGGCCACTGCTTCACCCGCAGAGTCGATTTCATCCTTTACAGATAGCAGGATATCGGCACAGCGCTCGGTTAACCGGAGGCAAGCCATTCGGTTCAACTACAAGTTCGATCAGCGTCTGACTCCAGCCAAGTAAATTCAAATGCGGACATACCTCGACGTATTGCAAAGAGTCCCATATCCCTAGCAACGTCCTGGCGGCCTCTTGTAACCCCATGACGGGGGCAAACTCGAGCACGTCCACGCCAACACGAAGCACTTCATGCATCACGTCCAGCGACACATCCAGCACAGACGAAGCTGCTTTCTCAACGTGCTGAAGGTGAACGAGGGGACATAAGCCGTCATCCCGTGAGACAGAACACGCAAACTCACCTGTTTCGTGGTCTCCCAGGCCTTCGTCTGCTCCTCCGGCACCGTCTTCTTCCTCCTCCCGTGCGGGGAGCTTGCATCCCACCACGGGCGGACGGCGAGGTCGTCCTTCGCCCGCCCCCACCACGTCTGCGGCGTACCGCGCGGAGGCGTCTCGTCCCTACCCCGCCTGCGGAAGCCATACGCGGGCGAAGGCGAGCGCGAGGACGCCGGATGATGCCGCAGAGATGCGACGGTGATTGACGCAGAGCGCGCGCGCTCATGGTCTATGGGCGCGAGCGAGGATGCAGACGACGCGAGAGAGGTGGGGAAATGCTGGTGCTGGGACGGTTGGGACGCGACGCGTTCGAGAGACGGGAATGCTAAGCCTCGGTTCGGGGAGGGGTTACGGACCGTTGAGATAGAGGTCCCCCTGGGCCGACCACGTAACGGAGGACCGCTAATCTGTGCCGGAAGAGAGGTTGATGACCCAGATGGGTGGGCTGTCGGCGGGAGAGGAAGCGGTTTCTGTGTGGGAGTTGCATTGGGGGAAGGCGAGGAATGTCCGGATGGATTCAAGGGAGAAGAGACGGGAGGCGTGTGGGATAGTACTTCAGATGTGCTGGTATGAGCATGCGACTGAGGCTGGCCATGGGGAGGAGGGGGAGGCGGCGTAGGCGATGACATTAGCCTTCGTTAATGTTCGTGATAGAAGAGAGTTAATGACGAATCTGCAGTTCGTGCGCGCGCACGGTTTAAAGACTTGGTGAAAGACTGTGTAATGACTCGGACCAGCGTAGCACGCCTGCGGATGTCAATGCAGCAGAGCACGGATACGACTTATATACGCACCGGGACTAAGCACACCACTTTGACGTCTCGCTCAAACCTGTGGTACTGTTGTTCCGTCGTGATGTCGCGGCCACGCACCGGGAGACCAGCGTTAACGGCGAGCACAGGCTGAGTAGACGCTCGGCCCTGCGCAAGCCGAAAGAGCCTCCCGTCCTTCGATTCTAAGTCGCAATGGAATGCGCCTACGGTTTCAAAAAGCAAGTCAGAAGCGTACCCTGGATGGACAGATCAGTTTCCAGGAATACGCAGGAGTCCATACAGTTGTCCAATCGATCAAGACGCGTACCAAGTATGAGCAGGCAGCTTATGTCCTGGGCCGAAATACACCGCGAGTTTTGGACTAATCCAGCCAGCTGGAGGCAGGCAAGCGTGTGCTATGCACCTGTGCGACGACAGACAATAATGAAGGGTATGTAGCGGCAGCAGAGGAGAATCTCCCATAAATATACCCCACAGATGTAGTTTCGATTGAGCCTCTCCGCGTGCGCCTAAATTGAGATCCTTGTGGAGATTCAAAGTATGCAATTGCCGGAGCGTAGCGTAGTCAGTTGTAGTAGTCAGAGGAGCTCAGTCTTGATGTTCTCGCCTTGGTCAGCAAGAATCGAGCACCCTGAGAGGAGTATTTAAAATTTTTCTATTCTCTCCGTAGATCCGGTTGTTACATGTAAAAGAAAAGAAACAGGGAGAGTTACAGGTTCCCAGCGCAGCAAAGCACGGTAACAACGGAGTAATCCGAGCCACCTCACGCTTCGCTTCACCCTGCGATCACCGCCCATGGCATAGCCACCTGCAAGTGTCTTTCAAGTTTGGTTCCGTTACAGAAAGTGTATCTCCTTTGCTTGACCGGCCGACATGGTACCCCTGCTGGTTGACACTCTGTCTCCGTACCATTCCATGCTGAGTGCGGAACAACGTCGATAGCGCATGGGCCCCCGGCTCGCTTTGTCTTTGTCATGATACCCCTAGCCTCCGGTCAAAATCTGACGCAGTCAGATGCTGGATACTGATGATAACTTTGGGAGCTGGTTAAAATCACAATCCACGGTCAGGCCGTTCATACACGTCGGAGACCGGGGACAGGATGGTTCGGGCTCTTGACAAAATGATGTCCAAGATCCCGTGCCTCTTTGCCCCGTAGCCTCAGACGGTGTGGCGCATAGCCAGCGGAAGAGAGTGCTCACCCAGCTTGTCAAATGTCGAGTCAAGCTTATCAGAGTTGACTCATGCAGACCCATACGCTAGCGTATGCGGTTCACCCAACTAGCGGCACTGCAAACCTTGTACTGGTTGGACCGACACCAGAGGCACGCTCAGCTGCCGGACAGGAGGCTTCGCATGAGTATGATCCCTGCCTGCGATGAAGACACGACATACTAGGCTCACTTGATTATCTAGCGGACCTGTGTGGCTACACACTGTCGATCAGATCGCAGAAATAGCGCCAACCGAAGATAAGGTGCTGGTGATCAGCGTTCTGCAACACGACCTAGCTCGCTGATGCCGCAAACCGCATAGCGAGGAAAAATTGTCAGTGCTGGGAAGGATGGAAATGTGTTCCTTCTTTCCTGGTGCGACGCTCTACAACTCAGGCTTGTTATTGCCTGGTTTTACGGCGAAGGCGTCCTCGGGATCGCGACATCAGCAGCCCCTCAGGCCGCTACAGGTGAGCACGGTTAGCCTTAGACGCCTAGACTGCATGATCTGACGTCTGGAGCTACTTATTCTCGGTCACACCCAGGTAAACCAACAAACCGCAGCGCACATCCTTGTCACGTGGGAGAGTCGTTTACTAATGTTAACATCGCACATCGTCATGTTAATTGCATCGCTTTCTATTCCTATATATACTCGTTATCGGACTGAGGCCGCCCAAAATCGGTACCCCCACGTCCAAGGTGAGGTCTTTGCGTTTTTTGCGGGTGAAATCTCAGTCATCCTTCCCGTAGAGGTTGCTCTCCCTCTCTCTCCCCCTGCTTGTATCCGTCTGAAAGTGAGAGCAATCACAATTGGCAGAAGGACACTTGAAGATGGAGTCGAGTGGAACGGACTCTTGTGGGGACAAGTGCGAAGCAGCAGGACAGGCAGGGTTATCCGTGCATCTCGCACCAGAGCTGTGGCTTCACATCTTCGAAATCGCCACACACGTACCGGGGGACCTAGGTCTAGAGATCAGCAGCTCAGACCCATTCTATCTGTCACAAAGCACACATGGATGGGAGCCGCAGGGCTTGCTGATGGCGTCCATGTCAACCAGGTGCTCACTGGTGCGCGTATGCCGGGAGTGGAGATCACTTGCGACACCCATCCTTTACCGAGTGGTTATCGCAAACCACCAGCGGGGCCTGCGACTCTTGCACCGAACCCTCGTTGCCGCGGAACGTCCCGAGTGCCATGAGAGAGCTGCGCTGCTTCGCGCATGCGTTCGACGGTTCTACTGCATCTTCAATGGGCACTGGATGCGCACCGATAACTCCTATCCGTACGAGTATCTGGCCGAAATCGTCCGCGCACTCCCGAATATCGCGAATTTCACTATACGCACTCGACTCGCATGTGTGAGACCATGTTGGTACTTCAAAGATACCACTGTACCCTGGAGCGTGCTCTCGGCCTTAGCAGACTGTGGCGCGTCTCTGCGAGTGTTGGAGTGGGACTCGGACGTAACTCTCTGCCCGCGTCCGGACGAGTTCAGGAAAATGCTCTCCCAGATGCCGGGTCTACAGATCCTCAAATTCGGGAAAGAGTGCCCTCTAGACATCGCGACACAGGAACTCACGCCTCTCGTGCTTCCGAACCTTTCTTTCGTCTCGCACAAGCTATTCTCGCCGCGATCTCCGCTGTGCCTCGGTCTTGATCGCTTCGATTCTCTTCAGGAGCTGTTCCTCCAAGTTCCACCGAAGTCGCTGGATATGCTCACACCGCCGGTAGCATCGCAGATCTCACGGTTGACTCTACGCACGCCCTCCATCGGTGACAGTTGCACGGTCCAGGAGGTCGTGCGAGCGTTGCCGAACCTCCAGCAACTTGTCCTCTGGTACTCCGATTGGCATTTATTCCCGCCAAACCTGTGGCTATCCAATATCGAGCGTCTGGGTCTGGGGCGAGACGGATGGAGCATACGCAAAGATAACAGTTACGATGAATTTCTGGATAGTCTGTCGTCCATGAAAGCTGACAAGCTCTCAGCTGTTCGCTTTCTCGGCCCTCAAGACGCATGGTCGAAGTTGCGTAACGAGGAGCCAGGGATTTGGGCTAGGTTTCAGGGCTTGGCACGGAGCAGGGGCTTTCGTTTTGAAGATAGCTCTGGCAAAACCATGCAGTAACTGGACGTTTTCGTCGCTCCTACTGCAGGGGTGCCTCATCAAAGGTGTGCTCCGTAGTGGCGACCACTCCCCAATCGTCGGGGTTATTGCCGTCCAGGCTGTTCGTTATATTGTACTGCTGACTACCTTCTGCGTTGCTTGGGCCTGCGGTAACAAGTTGACTCGACACGAAGCTCTGCTTTGCTACTCATCGCCCATGTACGCCACCGTTTGTAACGGACTGAGTGGTCCGTTACCAGACCATTCATGCACATAGGGAATTGGAGGTACATGACTAGACATTATCAGAAGCGTTGTCAGAATCGGGTCGCACTGCGTGACAGGGCAACGTCTCGGTATGTGTACATTTGCTCGCTCTCGTCAGTATGGGTAGCTGCTGATAATAAGGGGCTGATATCATCAGAACACCGATGTGGCATTTGTTAGGTGCGGGTTATCTGCCATCGCGTTGACCCGGGGGCTATAGAGAAGCTACGCCAGGTGGTATGTGGTGGGATGAGCTGCTATACTTAACACTCTACCATCTATGATTGCATCGCCTTCTATCTATGCTTGTACTTGCTCTGTAACTGAGAGCGTCCTGACGTCCCTCAAGTCGGCCCAACACTCCCGACACAAATCAGGTGAGAAACTCCCGCATCACGAACCACTTAACTGAAACTCTGATGGGGTGTCTCCGTTACAGAGAGTGGGGGTGAGAGCATTCGCCTGCAGGACCTTCGAGCATAGGGTGGCGCCGAGGGATCTTGGAGCGGCACAAAGCTAAGAGATCAAATCAGACACGACAGGACGTGGCGCTGCCTACAGAGTTAGTATGGCTGCACATCTTTGAAATTACAATGTACGTACCAGGAGCGCTAGGCCCGGAGACGAACAACTTCGACCTATACCAACTCTCCCGAAGTATATCTGGAAGGGAGCCGCAGAGCTCTGATGACGTCCATTTTAACCAAGCGCATGCTGGGTGACTGCGCGTGTGTCGGCGATGGAGATTAATTGCGACACCCATCCTTTACCAAACAGACATCGCAAAGCACAAGCGGGAACGGCGAGCTCTGTACCGTACCCTTGCTGCCGCGTCGGATTAATATTGTCCTGACAGCCGCGAGCAAGAGGGCTGCACTGCTTCGAGCATGCGTTCCACGATTCTATTGCATCTTCAATGGCCACCGCGCGCCGACCAATCACCTCTATCCCTACGGGTATCTGCCAAGACCATTCGCACGCTCCCTAATTTCACCAGCTTCGAATTCACTCTACGAGCTCAAGAAGGATTTCTGCCCTGGTATTCCGGAGATACTACTGTGCCCAGGTGCATGCTATCAGCCTTGGCAGAACGCGAGACGTCTCTTCGAGTCCTGGTCCTCCTGGAATCGGACAGCGACGTCGCTCCTTGCGCACGTTCTGACAAACTCAGGGAGATGCTATCGTACATGCGAGAACCAAGCAAGAACTGCCAATCCTCTAGCCCTGGAAAAATTGCCCTCCACTGGCATATACCGTCAAGACTTCCAGCCCCGCTTTGCCGTTGATCAGTACTGACTTATAGCTGAGATGGAACTCATAGCTCCAACGTGGGTGCCTACTTGGTCTGACATCCATCCAAGGCCATTAGAGTCGGTCAGTTTATTATGTCAGTTGAGACTACACGACGACTGACGAAGTCCCATATATTACATGACCCGAAAATTATACATAACTTGCCGGCCACACGAACGCCGTGGCGGGACTTACTTTAGTGCTAGCCTAATCGAAGAACACCAACGCTCTGAGCTCAATAGATTCTCGCAAGGGCGCGTCGGGCGGGGTAGAAGGGTCCTCAAAACCGGTATGCGGGGTACATTTGGCAACGCCCTCTTTCGAGTCGAAGCTGGTGACATGAGGATTGTGAGTGAATTCAAGTATAAAATGAGTTGCGATTGACTTACCACTTGATCAATGCGAACTCGTCTGGAGTCATTCCTTTCAAGTACTTCCACTTGTGATTCGGGTTGAACTTAACGCTCATAGTCTCCCCGTTATAATCCGGATATTTCAATATGGTGGGGACAAAGTCATTCGGGTCTACGCTGCTGAAGTCACAGAATGCCAAGGGCCAGTCCAGCGCGGGGTGATTGATCGGCCGCCAGAGGTTGATGATCTGGAACCGGCGCTGTACGAGTTGAGGCGCCTCAGAAGGGGGGAGGTGCCGGTGTACGCGGGCAATGGCGGATGCTTGTGTCTGATCGACGTGCACCCGCGGGACGGGCTGGCGTTTGTCAGGCGTGTCTTCTTTCTCGTTGGGTCTACGACGCCGGATTGCTGGAGAGATTCGCGACGGGATTCGTGGATTAATCCTGCGGAGACTCTAGGATGAAGACCCAAAACTTACTGTGGTCGAAGAGAACAACTTGGCTAGCGCCCGTCAGCTCCTTAATAAGCTCAATGCTTTCAGGATAGTATTCCTCTCGAATCTTCGCATTATCCGTGAATCCGGTGTGCTTGGAGGGCCGCTTATAGAACTGGAAGCCGTTCTTGTCCAGGGTGAACTCGTGCTCTCTGCCCCGCACGTTCTCAATGGCCATCTCGTGCTCGGACGTCCCGAAGTTCTGCTCCCGCGCGCCAGTGACGGGATTGGCGTTGATGTTCTGCCATGGGCGAGAGCCGTCCGCGGGCGGGACAAAATAGTAGAGCTTTGCGGTAACAGTGGAAGACATCTGATGCTCTCAGGGAGATCGGGTGGTGTGACTTCATTGTTCGAAGTCATGAAGCCTTTATATATGGTGAGTTATTCCAGTGCTAGGTCATCCCACACGGTCCACGGCGAGTACGATGACGTGCTCCGAGACCATACGAGCGCAATCCGGGAGTCTTCGTAGGCTGACCGAGAGTCCATTTCCAAGCCCGATGGTTTTCATCATAGCGGCGCAAGCACCAATCCCCGACTCCAGTCAGAAGCCATCAAGTATTCCAGTACTAGTCACTAGTCTGGTCAAGTTGCGGAATGCCAGTCTTGACGCGTACGGACACATACACAGTATTGATATAGTCCTGTCTTATATCTACATCAGTATTTAAAGGGGCTTCCTCCCAGTCCCCACTCAGAGATACTAGTCTCATTTGTCAGCCTCACTTGGGTCAATGCATCCTTTTATCGAATGCTACGCACTGCATCACTTTGACCTTTCACGTCAGGTGTGTGTGGTGTCTTCAAGTCGAAACGGTCGGGACGTTGCTTACATGAGGTTCTCACGGCGAGAGCGAGTTGTATGGTGGAGCGACCATTTCTTCCCGACAGAACCCTCCTCCCAACTACCGTGGGATGGGAGTCGGGGATAGATCACCTGAGTGAGCCAATACTTGCCTCGCTCAGGATGACAGATGCGCCAGGCCGAGCCTTCGCGAATCAACTGCGAATCGCGCGACATCGCCGCAGCGGTGTGGCTGAGTAAGTTTTCGTACTCAGAGTATTGAACACGCAAGAACCTCGACACAATTTATGCCACCTTTCTATGATAGTAGGACTGCGTCATGAGGGCGCGTATGGGTGGTATATTATCGATATGCTGGCCGGAAAGTGGCAAGAAAGCTTCGCAGAACGAACTGGTGAGGCTACAGGTGTGGCGTTCAAAGTTTGACCGGCGTGACCATTCACAAGTCGCGATTAGCGCGAGTCGACTCTCTCTATCACACTCGCCACCTTGTATTTTGCATTCCATCCTTATACACTGAGACTCTTCAAAGCTCAAACAACACCTCATCCATATTAATGGGCGCACGATGGCTTCCGTTCCTGACTTTCTGTGGCAGATTCAGAGGGTAATCAAATTTATCGCCCCCCTGTTCCGCCACTGACAATGACGGTTCGTGTCTCCTTAAAGCTTGTCGAATGAACTTTTGCCAGTTCAATACCCTCTTTCTGAAGTTATGGGCGGTCGCAGACTTATGTTTGGATTTAAGCCCTGTCCGACAACGGTCCGAATGGAAGGCCACGTGCGACTGGGAAGCGGAGGGCCGCTGACCGGTCCGGCAAGCCATAGGATATAAAGGAGGGGAAGGAACTAACCCGCACAATCTCTTTTCTCATCGATATGGCGTGCCCCACCTTCAAGCTCAATAACGGCGTCGACATACCTTCCATTGGTCTCGGTGAGTACAGAGACTGCAGCAGGTGAACATACGGCACTAAGCAGAAGAGCTTAGGAACTTGGCAGTCGAAGCCAGGTGAAGTGACAAAGGCTGTGGAATATGCGCTGAAGGAAGCCGGATATAGGCATATCGACTGCGCTTGGTAGGTTGTCCACTGCGGGAGAATACACAGGGAATACTCAATCCGGTTCACAGGGCGTATGGTAACGAGAAGGAAGTCGGTGCAGGGATCCGTGCGTCTGGAGTGCCCAGGTCTGAGATTTTTGTGAGCTTTACAGCACTATGTGTTAGTACAAGTTACTTGCTTACGACCGATTCAGATCACGAGCAAGTTATGGGGCACGTACCACCGTAAAGTCGAACAATGTCTCGACGAGACTCTGGCTAACTTGGGAACTGACTATCTCGACCGTAAGTCAGAGCGAATATTATCAAGAGCCTGCACGGAGTCTCACCCTCATTCTTGCCCTGAAATCCATCCCAATAGTGTATCTGATCCACTGGCCCGTCCCGCTGAACCCGAATGGCAACGACCCCGTCTTCCCTAAGCTGCCCGACGGCACGCGCGACATCGACTGGGAGTGGAAGATCTCGGACACCTGGAAGCAGATGGAGGCCGTGTACAAGAAGGGCAAAGTCAAGGCCATCGGCGTGTCCAACTTCTCCGAGAAGAAGCTCGAGGAGATCCTGCCCACGGCCGAGATCGTACCTGCCGTTAATCAGCTCGAGATCCACTTGTGGAACCCGCAGCACAAGCTCATGGACTATCTGAAGAGCAAGGGGATCCTGCCGCAGGCATATTCGCCGCTCGGCTCGACGAACTCGCCGTTGTTGCAGGACGAGACTGCCACCGAGTACGCGCAGAAGTATGGCTTGCAGACCGCGGATATCCTCCTGGGCTACCTGAGTAGGTCATGAGATTTCGCCGTGTACCGGAGCTCATTCACCGTCCTGCAGTTGCGAAGGGGATCGTGGCGCTTCCCAAGTCCGTCACGCCAGCGCGTATCAAGTCAAACTTTGACGGTGCAGTGCGGGCAGCGTCCAAGCTGACGAAGGAGGACATTGCGAAGCTCGACGCGGTCGCTCCTGGAGGGAAGCAGAAGAGGTTCATCGCACCTCCGTGGGTCATCGACCTTGGCTTCGACAACTGGCCGTAAGTGGGAAACGAAGAAGCTGTATCATTATTTTGTATGAATAAAAGGATCTATACTCTAGTGTGCACAAGAGAAAGAGTAGGCTCTAAGCTAGCTATATGGATGAGACAGGGGACAGTGACACGATCCATGTATCTTCTACTTCTATGTGGAGTGCGGGATCTAAGAGAGAAGGTTATGCCCGACCAGCAAGTTCTCTAGGTAAGATGAGCACAGACAGAAAGATTAGATTGAGTACAAGACAACGAATCCGGACGTATACTGGGCGTAGCATATGGAAGCAAGTAGGCGATAGAATACGAGAGCTTAAAGAAGACGACGCGAATACTTCTCGATTATATATCTACCAGTCAAGCTCCGCAGGGAAGAACTTCGCAATCAGCTGCTCGTAGTATGGTCGCAGCTTCGCAGGGTCAACCCGCTCGTCGCTCTTGCTGTATAGATCATACGGGTTGAAGGCCTTGACAGCCTCCAGGTGCTTCAGGTCCTTCTCGTTCATCAGGTGTTGGTAGGCGCCCTCACGGTGCCACCTGCACACGGTCAGCGGCGGCCACCAAAATCATCATACAGACACATACGGGTAGAAACTGTGGTATCTGATCATCGCCAGCGCTTCTTCCGGAAGAGTGCTCTGGTCCTTCAGAACGTGGTATAGATACTGTAGGTTCGAGCGGTTAGATGACATCAGCGGAGGTTGCGTGACCCTTATCACACCTCATCGTGCCCCCAAGAGAGCATGACATTCTCGAGGCCGCAGTGCGGCTGGTAGATTCCATACTCCGAGCTGTACACCGGGTCCACAGAGTCCGGGTTCGCGGCGAAGGTGTCGGGGTAGATGATCTTGTCGGAGAACTTGCAGCCCACGACGAAGGTATCCTGCGGGACGTCGTCAGGGACGCTGAGCGGGAGAGGAGAAGGGCGACTTACGCCTACGACGTCCCACTGGCCCTCTGAGCCGAAGAGGAACAGCAGCTTTCCGAGGTCATGCACGAGGCCCGTCACTTGCATCCAGTCTGGCTTGCCGTCCCGGCGCATGGCCTCGGCGGTCTGGAGGAGGTGCTCAATTTGGGAGAGTTCCGTCTGAGGGTGGCCTCAGCTGGGGTGGCACGGGCATGCAAAGACACGGCTTACGTCGGGGTCGGACTCGTCCACGAGCGTGTTGAGCATCTCCATCGCCTGCCACACGCCCATGCGCGCGCGCTTTTTGCTCTTGAAATCCACGCGGGCTTTGATGTTGAAGTCGACGGTTTGTTTCTCTAGTAAGAGGTTAGACCCGGGCCAGAGTGAGCGGCGCCAGACAGATCTGACCATGCTGTTCCTTGTAAAAATTCTTGACGCGGTCGCAGGCGTCCTCGTACTGTCGGAACTGTGTCTTGTCCTTCGACGCGTCGAACTCGGATGCGGTGTTCCAGATTTGTCCCTTGAGTGCGTTCACTGCCCGCAGGTGAGCTGTGCCACACAGCATATTCTACAACTGCACGTACCACTGTCAATCGCGTCCGACGTTTCGTCGAAGGCCTTTGCGTCTTGCGCTGCGATGCTCGGCATGGTGTATTGCTATGAATTATGGGCCAATTTCGAACAGGTCGGCCTGGTAGACTGAGAGAAAGGGAGTGAAATAGAACATACTGCACAAAGTGCTCTCTTTATACTCTTTCTCTACCCTCTTACTCGGCCCGCAGCACGGTAAATGGAAAGTGTTGGTGACCAAGTGACAGCGATCCTGCCGCTGCAACAGATTTCATATAGCGGAGCCAATTTCCATGCGGGAAACCGCGAGATGGGTGTGCGAAGTGAATTTCGTTCTGGGGATTCTCCGCCATCTTTCATCAATAAAATGCGAGATGTTTCAGCGCAGCTATCCGTCGACGTCGACGGGCAGAACGAATGCCACAACGCCGGTACCTTTACAGCGAATTACAAGCGATTCTGAAAGCCACCGGATCTTGCGCTGACACCGGTCACGATACCTGGAATACGTGTAAGACCGTATATTGATTTCAGGAGCTCTTATATCGAGCTCGTTTCTTTCCCTGACCGGCCCATCATCTTCACTCGACACAGGAAATGCTTTGAAGATGAAGGCTTCAGTGTGCAGCATCGGGGCTCGGCGCTCGGTTGTAGTCGCGCGGTCGAACAGCAGCTACTCTCATGTCTTGACACGTCGGTTTCATCAAGAGGGGTCATTTGGGTATAGAAAGGCGAGAGAAGTAACTGTGCCCGACTGTGAGTGATTTAGACTTTGAACGTGGATGGTCGTGGGGGGGTAGGCGGCTCCAATCCCAGCGGTAGATATTGTCATTGCGAGCGAAAGCCTATACCAGGTGGCCGATTATGCAGGGACGAGTCTAGGTCTGATGTCTTTCCAAGCATTGCTTCTGTCCGGCCATCGCGTATGAGTTGAACAGAGTACCGTGGTGCGGGATGTATGGAGAGAGCATGCGTGGAATGCTGTAGGGGATGTGTTGGAATAGCGATTCCACGATCCCCTTGACTACCCTGGGCTCACCGGAAACATGGTAGGAAAGCCTGTTCCATGGGAGTCCAATTTCCTGCGAGACCAGCAGTCCTTACAGATGGTAAATGGACTGCTCGTATTTGTCACTAACCGCGCACATCATAGACACCCCCGCTCAGCTGCAGAACAGAACCGACAACGCGCCCCTTCTGCGATACGTGGACTCTATGCGCACGCACGGGCACCGAGCGGCGCGCATAGATCCGCTGGACCTCATGCAGCGCGACGACGTCGCCGCACTGGACCCTACTCGGTACGGCCTCACGGACTCTGACAAGGAGTACAACGTCAACGGGATCATTTGGACTGCACCCGTGGGCACGCAGTCGGACGCCGCGCAAATGTGGAAGCTGCGCGACATCGTGCAGTACCTGCGCTCGGTGTATGTCGGGCGCATTGCGTACGAGTACATGCACTCACCGTCCAAGACCGAGCGCCTTTGGTTCTCCAACTTGCTGGAATCGGAGGACCCTGCGCGGCAGACGCCGGCGGATCTGCGGAAGAGGATGCATGAGCTACTCGCGCGTAGCGAGACATTTGACCAATTCCTGCAAGTAAAGTTCCCGAATCTGAAGCGGTATGGTCTGGAAGGCGGAGAGTCGATGCTCCCGGCGCTTGATGAGCTCTTCCGTGTCTCGTCGCAAGGTAATGTCGTCAGCGCCCAGGCATAATAGACGTGTTTACAAGGCATATTCAGCCGGTATCCAACATATCATTCTCGCGATGCCTCACAGAGGCAGGCTCAACTTGTTAACGGATCTCCTACAATACTCTCCTACGGCTCTCTTTCATAAGATCAAGGGAGGGAGTGAATTCCCGGAAACATTCGACGTCTCAGGAGATGTCATAAGTCACCTTGGTATACCTATTTCATTGGTAAAAACTCCTCTATTTGCTAAGGACTCTACAAAGTTTCATCTCCTGAACTTCGTTATGATGATGCTTTGAACCCTGTCAAGGTCTCGCTCCTGCCTAACCCTTCACATTTGGGTACGTAAGTTCGGACCTGACCTTTGCTTCTCACTTCACCATACCTGCAGAGGCTGTCAACCCGGTAGCACTTGGCAAGACGCGCGCGAAGCAGTACGCGTTGCTCAAGACATCGCCCGAGGACTGCATGCTCGGCGATAGGGTGATGTGTGTGCAGTTGCACGGTGACGCGAGCTTCACCGGCCAAGGCGTGGTTATGGAAACACTTGGACTAAGTGAGTACTCGGCAAGAGTGCGAATTTTTAGGGAGCTGAGTAGGATTCATGAGGCAATCTACCTCACTTCACGAGCGGGGGAAGCGTGCATATTGTAGTCAAGTGCGTGTTTTCGCTTCATCTGTCTGCTACTCCTCATGACCCAGTGTAATGGACTACCTGGTCGCCAGTAACAAGTACGTCACGTTTCCAAGTATTGAGAACTTATCTGTCTTTATGAGCGTCTTCCTGGTAGCATCGGATACACTACCCCTGCTTCGGAAGCGAGATCATCACTCTACTGCTCCGACATTGGGAAGATGATCCATGCTCCCGTGCTCCATGTGAATGGTGACTATCCCGAAGGTGAGAGCCATCTCAAGGGCCCGAGTGTAACCGGTGTAACCTCGTTCTACAGATGTAGCTCGAGCGGTAGATACTGCTTTCAAATATCGCAACTACTTCCGGAAGGTACGCTAATCACTGCTGCTGCTACTGGGTAACATGCCCAGAAGTTTTATCCGAATGCAGGATGTCATTATAGACTTGATCGTCTACAGGCGCTGGTACGCATCTGATGGCCTTGCTATCGTGCATCAAAGCTCATGGTAGTCAACAGGGGCCACAACGAACTGGATGAACCAGCGTTCACTCAGCCTTTGATGTACCGACAAATCCGAGCGCGCAAGTCGGTACCTCAGCTATACGAAGACCGTTTGGTGGTGTGTACACCTCCACGCCATATCGTCTCATAGATAGGCGTGGTCGAGCTCATTTGGATGTAGGACGAGGGACTCATCTCGAGAGAGGAAGCGACTTCATTGCGGACCTCGTACAAGGCGCAGTTGGACGAGAAACTCTCTCAAGTTGCCGAGTTCACGCCCGAGGTGTCACTCTCTCAAGGGCGATGGAAGGATACGGTGTGGCCTGCGGGCGAGTCCGCATTGTGGGATCCCGAAACTGGGCTCGACGCGCATAGCCTAAAGGCTATCGGTAGAGCCAGTGTAACTGTACCCGAAGGTTTCGTAAGTCGTTGCGCGTATGAGAGCGATGAATAGAATGCTGATCCGTACGCGGATAGCAAATCCATCCGCGGCTGCAGAGGCATGTTAAACATCGACTGCAGAGTTTGGAGGCGGGTACGGGTCTCGACTGGGCTACTGCTGAGGTGCGTCGGTATAGTTTAGTTGTTCGACTGGACCCGACACGGTTCCGATACAGGCAATGGCCTTTGGCTCCTTGATGCAAGAGGGCTGCGATGTGCGGATTTCAGGCCAAGACGTGGGTCGAGGTAAGTGTGCTGTACATCCGTTCTCACCGTGTCACTGAGCTCTTGCAGGCACTTTCAGTCAACGGCAAGTCTGCTTAACGTACGGATATTGCTTATGCCTTTGGGAAATGACCCTATGTGCGCAGTCACGCCATGTTGGTGGACCAAGAGTCCGAGAAGGTTGTCATCCCTCTCAACGGGGAACTCGGGGCTCAGGGAAAGCTAGAATTAGCAAACAGTACGCGATCAGATTGGGGGCGCCCTACATACATGCTCAGCTCGGTCTCTAGGTTCTCTAAGCGAATTCGCTGTTCTTGGGGTAAGTCGGTTGTTGTTACTATGCTACGCTTCACATGCTAACGAACTCGTCAGTTCGAGTACGGCGTGAGCTGGGAAACACCGGGTCTGCTTCCCATATGGGAGGCTCAGGTGGGTTGTTCGTCACATCGCAGCTAGCCTTAGTGATTTAGTCCTGTGTTGCAGTTTGGAGACTTCTTCAACGGAGCGCAGGTATGTCAACACTCGGCTCGTGGCGTTGCGCGTTGGCTTGATTGTCCTAGATTATCATCGATACTTTTATTGCTTCTGCCGAAAGTGAGCGCATTAAGAAGCATGATTACTTTCTGCTGATTATGCCCTATATAGCCAAGTGGTTGAAGCAGAGCGGGATTGTGCTCCTCCTGCCTCACGGCTTGGACGGAGCCGGGCCCGAACATTCTTCCTCCCGATTGGAGCGCTGGCTGCAAGTCAGTCCGCACCTTCCTATGCTTCCCCTGTCGGCTCACCGATTCTGCTGCCATAGTTGACCAACGACAGGTATGATGATGCCGATGGCGAGCGTGCGAACGTCAATATGGGCGTGGTTTTCCCGACTACACCCGCTCAGTATTTTCATCTCCTGCGAAGACAAATGAAGCGCAATTTTCGCAAGCCTCTAATAGTTGCAGCTCCGAAGGGTCTCCTGCGGCTACCTGTACGTACCGACTTGCTTGCCTACTATCTAATCTTGAGGGGTAGTCTGTTCACAGGCAGCCATGTCGCCGCTATCGGAGCTCGAGCCAGGGACCAAGTTCCAGCCCGTGCTTGACGACCAGGTCGTAACCAAGACGAATGTCGAGCGCGTTGTCTTTTTATCAGGTAAATTGTACTACGACCTCGTCAGGCAAAGGCAGGATCTCGCGAAGGATCGTGTCGCGCTTGTGCGTCTGGAGGAGCTCTCGCCCTTCCCCTTCGCTGAACTGCGCGGCGTGTTGAGCGCGTATCCCGGCGCGAAGGATTTTGTATGGGTGCAGGAGGAGCCGCGAAACCAGGGTGCGTACGGGCACGTCGCGCCCCGCGTCGAGCATGTCCTACGGTCGATGGGATATACTGGTAGGCTGGGGTATAGAGGGAGGAAGGAAGATTCCGTGCCTGCCCCGGGGGTGGGGAAGACGTACCGGGTTCAACAGGAAGCTGTGCTAAAATCCGCTTTCGCCTGAGTACCGGGGAGTCTCGGGCTGCAGTTGCTGACGAGTATTGTCACATCACTGGGCTAGCTGTCTAAGATATTGCCATCTTGCATTGCATGCCATTTTGCATATCATGTATCACTCGGGCTGCAGACGCCATTTAGTTTCGGGTGGAGACATCCGATTAGCCCAACAGACAATGTACCTCTTATCATAGGCCGAGCGAGGCGGAGCCACGACTTGTGGGAACTTGCCCGGTGTATCGGTCAGCAAGGAATCAGGAGAACACTTCAGAATATTACAAAGCATATACAGGAGGTTTGGGCCCTCAGTCAGCCTACGAAGTCTCCCGAATGGCGTATTTATGGTCTTGCAGCACGTCATCGGACTTTCCATGGTAGCATGACCCAAAATTGGGTCGAAGATATAAGGGCTGCTGGATTTCCAGTGAGAGTGCAAAACCGCCGCAATCATCCGCTGAGCCCTCAGGTATACCGATTCCGATATGTCGACCGTGACGGCAAAGCTCTACTACTTTGTGCCTCCGAAGGACGGCGCCCGGCCGTTCCTGTACATCAGCACCGACCCCGTGACGGGCGAGCGGATCCAGAATTTCGGCCTTGCGCCTTATGAAATGGAGGTGGAGAACGTACGTGGAAGGGAGCAGGAATTCACGCTGGACAACAATGGCTTCCAATGGTATAAGCGGCCCTCGAAACACACCGACTTCACCGACGACGCCAAGATTCAGGAAGAGTACTACCCTGAGAGCATCGAGCTTATCAAGGAACTCACCGGCGCCAGCCAAGTCGCCCTTTTCGACCACAGTAAGGCGTTGGATTTCGTAAAGCAAAGTGCGGGGCTAACAGTAGCTTTGACAGCGATCCGACGGCGCAGACCCGATGTGAAAGTGGACACGCCCGACAAACGTCAGCCAGTCCCGCAGGTGCACGTCGACCAGACCCAGGCGTCGTCCATCGCGCGCGTACACCGGCACCTCCCGCCGTCGGAGGCGCCGCAGCTCGTCCAGCGCCGCTTCCAGATTATCAACCTCTGGCGCCCGATCAAGAACCCGGCGCTGGACTGGCCGCTAGCCTTCTGCGACTACAACAGCGTCGACCCCGCGGATTTCGTCCCCACCACGCTCAAGTACCCGGACTATGACGGCGAGACGATGAGCGTGAAATACAACCCGAACCACAAGTGGAAGTACTTGCGAGGGATGACTCCAGACGAGTTCGCGTTGATTAAATGGTAGGATGATCGCAACTCGAGTTTATGTGGCCGAGCTCACTTTCCTTATGATTCCAGCTTCGACTCGAAGGAGGGTGTTGCCAAATGCACTCCGCATACTGGCTTTGAGGATCCATCCACACCCCCTGATGCTCCCCTGCGAGAATCCATCGAGCTCAGAGCCCTGGTTTTCTATGATTAGGCTAGCGATGGGTCACATTGTCGACTGGCTTCAATATGCCTGACGACCTGTGTGATGTGTGGGACTTGTAGTATATGGAACTTCGTTAGATCGTCGTGTAATCTTAATTGTTGTAATGAACTCACTGACTGTGATGGGTTTGGATGAAGGTCATTCTGCCGATCGTCAAATGTGCCACTGCATATCCAGTCCACTATCCATACGTTTCAGAGTCACCATGACCGACCTGCATGCATGAGTCTGCATATTTACAGCATAATTTCACCGCGCCAATTCTCGAGACGAAAGCGCCTACTCCGCGCCAACGCCTGGAACCCAGCGAATACCTCTGGCCGCCGGACACGCAGATTCTCCCATTCATCCGCACGAAAGCGGTGCGCCTCAAAGCGCACCACAGCGAGCCTGCGGGCCTGCATAGACGCGAGGTTGTCCAGCAACCGGTCGTAAACATGAAGGACTGGTCGTATGCGGGCGAGTTCCCTTCCCAGACCCAGATACTCGATGTTGGCGAGCTGCAAGCCCGGCGGGAACAGGTGCCAATCGTGGTACCAGGCGACGAGCTGCCTTAGGTTCGGAAATATTCGCACGGCGTCGTGGACGGGGCACGTCCCGTCAGGAGCACTGCCTAGAGTCAGGCGCGTGATCTGCGGTGCCACAGACGCGAGCGACACAAGGGATCTACCCAGCGGCAGCGGCGGGGCGCGGAAGCACAATTCCCGGAGGGATTCAAATCGATCGACGGCGAAGCGGAGCGGCGAGTGCTCTGAGAAGTCATCGAGCGAGATGACCTCAAGCTTCGGGAGCACCAGGGGCGTGGGGTCCCGGCTCCCGGTATACCGCGGGCAGCTTTTCCAGATCTTGAGGACCCGCAACTCGCGCATGTGCGAGAGCATCCCCCGCAGCTCGTCGAACCGCGCGCAGAGGCTCACGTCGCGATCCCATTCCAGGACGCGCAGCGACGCGCCGCGCTCCGCCAAGGCCTCCAGCACGCACGCGGGCACGGTGGTGTCCCCAGCGTACCACGGCAGGAACTCTTCTTCTTGCGTTCGCACAGTGAAGTTGACGAGGTTCGGAAGTGCGCGGATGATCTCCGCGAGATATTCGTATGGGTAGAGATAATCCGTCGGCGCGCGGTGGCCGTCGAATATGCAGTAGAACCGCACGACGCACGCTCGCAGCAGCGTGGCCCTCTCGTTGTCCCCGCCGACGAGCGTTCGGCGCAGAGCTCGCAGCCCCCACTTGTGGTTCGCGATGACGACGCGGTAAAGGACGGGCGTCGCAAGTACTCTCCACTGCCGGCAAACGCGCACCAGCGCGCGCTTGGTTGACATGGACGCCAGCAGCAAGCTCTGCGGCTCCCTTCCGGATATGCTCTGGGACAGCTGGAAGGGGTCGTGGCTGTGTGTTTCCAGCCCCAGCGCGCCCGGTACGTCCGTGGCGAGATCAAAGACATGGAGCCACAGCTCTGGCGGGAGATGTGGCCTTGCCTGCCCGGATCCCTCCGGGTCCGTCAACACTCTTTGTCTAGATCGGCCAGCTTTGCGCGGAACCAGCAGCCCCCTATGCCAGCCCATATGCAAGTGTCCTGTTGCCAGCCACCTCTTTCTCGCCTAGAGGCTGTAGTTACGGTCTTGCTCACGGCTAAGTTGTGAATATCGAGGCGTGGCAAGCACCGTCGATCTCTACGAGCAGGTCGGTTCAGAACCCACTGGCAGCTCAGGGCTCAGGCTCGAGAGGAGACGGGACCCACCTTAGATGCGTTGGGTGTGTTCGCTCAGACTTGAACGCGAGGGGTCCCGACTTGAACGCAATCTCGGGTATAAATAGGGACACGGCGCAATCAAAGATCGCAGTGCGTCGGGTTACAAGTATAGCACTCGATCCCACCACTCTACCGCTATCTTCTCTTCCAGTATCACTGCGGGCAGAGACCGATGTCCCGCCGGTGGGCATGCCAGGAACATCTTCCTGATGGGAGAACACTTTCCTAGAATGGTCCTTGCTGGACCATAAGCTTGAAGAATGTCCTTTGAGTGAACAAAGAAAGGTCTGTGGGACATTTACTATGGTCCCTAAAAATCAGGGGACATTTAATTAACATTGTCCTTTCATTCTTTATGTCTGTATCATGTTCCGCTACGGAGTATCCTAGGAAAGTGTTCTCCCACCCTTGCCGTGAAAGATGAATGACCGGTGGCCACAGCGGGCAAGCACCGATGTCCCGCCACCGGACATTCGTCATTCATGAAATAGGTGGGAGAACACTTTCCTTGCATGCTCCGGAGTGGGACTTGGCAGAGACATAAAGAATGAGAGAACAATGTCAATCAAATGTCCCCTGATTTTTAGAGACCATAGTAAATGTCCCGCGGACCTGCCTTTGTTCATTCAAAGGACATTCTCCATGTCCAGGTCATGGTCCAACAAAGACCATTTTAGGAAAGTGTTCTCCCAACCGGGGCATGTTCATAGCATGCTCGCCGGCGGGACATCGGTCTCTGCCCGCAGTGGGCGGGACACCGGTCACTATTTGGCGTGACTGTGGGAACCAAAGCAAACAGCCGGGCGCGAGACGCGGATGTCTAATTATATATGACTGGGCAAAGCGCTGTACGCACCAACGGGTACATTGACAGTAGGAGACAGTCTGAAAAGCTACAGTTCTCTCAGCGTGATTTTTGATCCCAGTAAGGCTTCTACTGGGCCACATTTAGTGCCTCGACCCCCCCCCCCCCACTTTAAAGGAATTGTGTACATGAGGTTCTATGCGCTCTTGCGCATTCAGCGCGTACGTTATTGTAAGGATACGCACCCGCGCTCGCTACCGTATTCGGCCAGTAGATTCCTTATTCGGCTACTCGCTACTATATTCGGACTCTAAGCTATACGGCTCCTTCGGAGCCTTCGAGTTAATCCTCTTCGCATTCATTTCGTCTCTTCTCGTATTCTTCTATTTTCTGTCTCTATCTCTTCTATTCGGTACATGTAATCTCGTAGTATAAAAGCCCAGCCCATGTACCTCATACCTAAGTCTTTTTCGAACACGAATCTCTTGCTACTCATCCCTGTGAGAGACTCGAACGTTGAAGACTTTCCGTGGTGTCGCTTATCTAATCAGCGACCTCACATTTTTTTGAGTCGTTTTTTCTATTTCTATTCGTGTTTAACGCAGACGGACTGATCACCCGTTTGTTGTCATAGCGCGCGTAGTCACCGGTGCACTTCTCGTCGACGAACTTATCAACTTCCGGAAATGGTTACAACCAGAACGCGTACGTATGCAGCTGTAGCCAGCTCACCTCGG